CTTACCCACCATATGGCTTTGCCAGAGTTGCCAAGACGTCTTTAGGTGGCACTGTGAAACAGCTATACAACAGAACATTTCCTGTCTTTTTCTCTAACATGTGATAAAAATGACACTATGAGACTTGTTCCCGGGCATGGGGATATATTTACGCTGAATGACTGCATGCTCACACACACTGACATATAACTCCTAATTGCTTGATTTTTATACCTTCCTCTCTTTCAGCTATGTTTCCATACACCCTATTGTATTTTCTCTCCTTTGTTAATCAGTTAACTGGGATATAAAAACATGAAATTTATTTAGTTTCATCTCTACTGACAATGAGGACACATCATTTACATGTGTAAATTTCATTTACCGCTGTTTTTAGTTCAACTAGAATCCACCCAGCAGAGGAGAACCTTCTTCTGACCACCAGGTGTTTTTCTTTCTATACATTATTAAAGAAATAGCAGTCTTATTGAAAGGATATGTTCATATTAATGTTGAGGCAAGTCCAATTTCTGTTGTTTCTTGCCTTTGGATTGTTTAATAAATAACAAATCCAACCTTTGTTAATTAAAAGTGTTGTTTTTCTTTTCAAGACACATACTGAGGTTGTAATGTTTGTTGTGAAATAAAAAAATTCTAAAAACCTACTTTTAAAATTTTTAATTAATATTTTTTGAAAAGGTATAAGATTTTCGTTGGCGGCACTTAGTTCAGAGTTGAAAGGAATAATGTTAGATTAAAAGAAATCAGTAATTGCGAAGAAATATACATGTATGGACAAAAGCATTTTTATATGTATATATGATAGGAAGCACCAAATAGATGGTTTTTTTTTTTTTTCAGAAATGAAAGCACAAAATCACTACTCCCTACTTTAAGATATTTGTCAAAAATGAGAGAATTTTAAAATTAAATGGAAATTTTCAGTCCTTATTCAGTAATGAATGACTCATGTACTGAATAGTTTGTTATATTAAAATTTTGTGGCAATATTGTTTTGGGGTCTGTATCCTCTCAGACCTTTTTAATTTCAAGTGTGTCTGTTTTAATTTAGGTGGTGTTTGTGAAATGTTTTGTCATATAATGAAAAATTGCTGAATATTTTATGTAGGTACCTCCAAAATAAATTGATGCTTATGGTTTAAAATGCATTTAAAAAAATAAAAAAATTGTTCTTAAAGATTATTTTTTAGAATTATTTAAATTGATGAAATTCATTTTTTTTTGATTATCAATAAAATTAAGTTTTTGAAATGATATAAAATTTTCCTTGCAACACACAGTTTTAAGGTATAAAATTAATTCCTGATTAAAAGAAATCCAGTAATTGCTCTGAAAGACACATGTATGTATAAACAAAGCCATTTTAAATGTATATATGAAGACATATTATTACTGTATAAAATATCAGTTGTCTTCATTTAAACTGTTGAATAACTCTGGGCTGTTTAACCATTACTGCAATTGCCACTTCCTCCAAGCTTAAGAATTTTTTATACGGGGGAACTTCTTCAAATCCCTTTTGTTTATATGTATTCATGATCTTAATCATAGTACCATAAGTAAAGGTTGTTATTTTTACCTTTGTTAATGAGTGTGGTTGAAGTTAATTAAATTTACTGGTGACACAGGTGACTTTAGTCTTTTACAAGAATAGCCAGACCAGAGAAGTGTCTAGCCTGATCTTAAGTCTTCACCGATATTCCTGTGGATATTGAAACACAATGTAGGGTCACAGGATAGGTACAGAGTGGGCTCACTGAAGCCAGACTTCAACCAAAGTAAGTGTGGAATTCAGCGAAGCATGGAGCAACATGGCCAAAAAAAATATTTTTGTTGTAAATTCTCAAGAACAACAAAAATGTATAAATTTACTTTCATATGTTTAGGTTTTATTACAATTCTAATCATTGCTTTTTTAAAATAAAACTTTGTCGAGTAGTAGTTAAAATAAAAGAGGCATCATGGGAAAAAACAACTTTTGGAACTCCATTTTTTTGTGGGTACAAAGGTCCATGTTTGCTGGCTTTTTATCAGAAGGAAATGTAGACATTACAAATTTCAAGACTTGTTCAAAGGATTAAAGTCTAGTCTTTATATTTTTGGCATTTGTTGTTTCCAAAATGTTCTTGCAGATCCATTCTATAGTCTTCTTTATGCATACAGACTATATGGTAAAGGAAGAGAATTATTTTTTCAAGGAAAAAGAACCCAAATAAAAAATAGTGGTAATACTTAACCTTTGTACTCGCCCCCCCAAAAAAAACAGTGTGTCAAAAGTACGCTTATTCCCTTGACACCACTATTACACCATTTTTTAAAATTCCCTCAATGTTTGTTTTAAAAATTAAATAATTAGAATTTTAATAAAACCCAAACATATAAAAGTGGATTTAGACATTTTCTTTATTCTTCAGAATTGTAAAAGATATTAAGCATTATTTATTTATTAGATTGCTTATTTCCAAGAATCATACTTATTATAAAACCCAGGTTGTGTGTGTGTGTCTGTTCGTTTATATATGGGATTGGATTTCCCACATTTTTCAACCGATTTCAACAAAACTTCACAGGACTACGTAAAATTACCTTGCAGTGGTTCTGACAGCGCCAAAAATTGGAAAAAAGCAATTGTCAATTTGAAAACAAGATTAAGAGGCATCACGAGAATGAGTTGTCCCCCTTTCATTCTCGTGATGCCTCTTGTAAAGAAAATGATGTGAGTGAACCACTCACAACAACATGTGTAAAACAGAAGATTCCATAATTTATGTGCATTTTTTCTCCCCAGTCATTTCTTCGCTAAGCAAATCAATCTACACAGATTTATAAATCTGAAGAAATCTGTGAGGGAGATGAGTTGAAATTTTGTAATAACAATAAAAGTCATGATTTCAAGACTCTGTGCAGGTTGATATCAAGTAATTAATAGATTTTATTTATAAGCCAACATCATTTCTTTTACATTACTTATACTGTTCAGACTGTTGCCCTTTTCTTTATTGCCATATTTGGGTTGTTTCAGCTTTCTTTGATATTTGTTAGAATTTTGATCCCTTTATTTAGCTTTTTCTAATTCCCTTTGAATATCTTGATAAGTCAACTTTACACATGTTGTTTCCTGTGGCCAGATATTGAATTTCTGAATCAATCAACCAGCATTTTTTATCTGCTGGGCCACGTATCCTTAGAGACAGGGCTTGATTAACCATTGTGACCATCAAAGGAAGAGGTCACCATAGAAATTGTTATATGATGTTGTTTTACACACATAAAAAAAAATAAGTCAAACATGATTTAATCTGATGGGCACCATGATGGTCAAGGGAGAGAACTGACCCATGGTGAATCTTTGCTGCGATTGGTTAAAAGGGAATGGGCTAAGGGAGGTAACGAGGTTTGTATTCACTCAATGTCTCACATCACCCCCTCTTGAATAAATTAGTATTATTAATTAACTTCCTGGGATTTTTGTGAACAATCACAGGGATAAACTACCTTCATGTTCATTTGCCATTATTCTCGCCATATGTTTATGTGATTCTCTAACATGTTGGTTTGTTGATTACATGACTACTTTTGGTCATTGTTCCTTTAGAATCTAATCATAGCTCATTTGACATGGTTGTGATTGGTTCTTTCTGGCTGCGATTCCCAAGGCGTTGGTATTGTTCTGGGTTGGAATTGATGATTAACCTCTTTTGATGGTCACGTGTCTTTAGTTCCTTCTATATATATTTCCAGCTGGCATTTCCATGATTTACATTCTCGCTTTGCACTACTCAACAAGACTCCATTCTAACATACTTAACTCGCAGATATATGGGAGCAACAAAATCTTTTAAGTGCTTAGGGCTGCTATGGGTCTTAAATCCAGTTCTGCTTGGGGGACATTAGTGAGTGAACTTTTGGGACTTATAAACCTAATGTCTCAGCAAACGTTTTTTACCAGTGCTCATATTAAAAATTTTTGTTATTTTTCTCTAGTTCTATGTATTACTGGTTCCCATATTATATTCCCATCTATGGTTGGCCAGCTTAGGGGATTTTTGTAGCTTAGCATATGCATTGATTCCTTTTGTATTTGCTGTAGCTGTTCTCTATTATTTCAACTCTGAACAGTGTTATTAGTTAAAATATAGACACCTCATTTCTTTAAATTATAAACATTACATTTAGTGTAGTATACATGTGTTTGAATAGACATACATTAAAGAAAAAAAAGTGTAATTGACATCTACCAGCCTGAGCATTATAGAGTCTTAGGTAACTGAACATTGCTATTCTGTGAAGTCTTTTGTGGCTGAGCAGTTTAAAGCACCTTTATATTAAATGTGGTTTCTCCAATGTAAGGAAATGTATCTTACTGAGAGACATGATTTCTTTATTAATAATATCATATGACCAGGCCAGTAGACTAATTACACCATTTAAAAAATTAGAGATGTTTACTAAAACTTGTATATCAACTAAACATGTTTATAGTAATAAGAAATACATACACATGTGTGTTATCTTTCCCAGTAAACAAAGTTCAAATTACACTTAAGTCAGTGTTTACTTCAAATTAACTGGGAAATTCTCGTTACACTTTGTTCCATAGATAAATTGACAAAAATATACCAAATTGACAAAGAGAGTGTTCATGGTATGAATTTTGAGAGAACTGATGTGAATGAATAAAGAAATTATTAATAAAATTTTATTCAGGACATAATGATTGTAGATTGATCCATTTTCTATGGATCACCAACTCTTTGCAGGTTATTTAAAGCCAAAACATATTTGTAGATTTTAAGAACTAGGGTGGAAGTGAAATAATAATAGTTTAGTGTTACAGGTTTTACTAATTAACCCTTACCTGGGGGTAGAATAGGTGGCGTCATACCTTTCCCAATGGTATTTGCATATAAGTGAATACAACAAACCCAACAGGAACTTGAATTTGGCTCTGCAATTAAAAATTTAAAGTCATTATTCATTACACTACCTGCACATCCAAGCTTACAGCACCTGGTATTCCCAAGTAGTCACCCAACTAAGTACTGACCACGATTGACGATGCTTAACTTTGGTAATTGTATGGAAATTGGTATTTCAACATGATGTGGCTGTAAGCCTGATTATATACGTGTGCATGTGCGTGCATACACACTTATATAAGCATATAGATATATGCTATATTTACCAGTGAATAACATTAGGAAAAGCCAGCAGCTATTTCCTACTACACTCTGTTTCCTTGCATCAAAACTGGACACAATGTCTTTTCACAAGATTGACAGACTAGCAAAGTACACAGTACGGATTTTGAGAAAATTGATATCTGAATACTGGAAAGATCTAGCACCTGAGTTATTACAGCATGGATTTTCACATGTCATTCAAGATTTACTAAAAAAAATGTTACCCAACTCACATCACATTGGAATAATTTGCATTAGTGTGTAATTATCTACAACTGAATTCAAAGCCAGCGCAACCACCAAATTTCACAGTAGGTAACTTTCTCAAGTGCATGTTAATAAGTTATATTTATGAGATAGATTTCAAGAAAATCTATTCCATATTTTTCTCTAGAGTGGCTACCAGATGCCATTTGAGATACATTGTTCAAGAAAATGTTTTGCTACACACCTCAAAATGAAAGGACTTCTCTGTAATGTTTATTAACATATACCATTTGATATATGAATTTTAGGAAAAGCTACTTCCACAGAATTCACAGTGACAGGGTTTCTCTCCAGTGTGTATTCTCATATGCAGCTTCAAGGAAAATGTTGCACTACACTTCTCACAAGAGATTTTTTTCCTCCTGTGTGTTTTATCATGTGTAACCTGCAGGCATTTTGGGCAAATCTAACTCTACAGATTCAACACTGAAAATGCATCTTTCCAGTGTGTATTAAAATTTGCTTTAAGACTTGAGTTTACAGAATTCCCCAGATTTCACACCAGTATGTTTTGACATGTGCCGACTGAGAGATGAAGTTTGTGAAAATTTCACACCACATATTTCACATGAAAAAGGTTTTTCTCCTGTGTGTGTTAACATGTGCCGACTGAGAGTTACATTTTGGGTAAATCTGTCTCCACAGATTTCACAGTGGAAAGGTTTCTCTCCATTGTGTATTCTCATATGTAGCTTGAGATTTGAATTTGTGGAAAATGTTGCATTACACTTTTTACAATGGAAATTTTTCTCTCCTGTGTGTTTTACCATATGCTGTCTGAGAGTAGAATTGTGTGTAAATTTAACTCCACAGATCTCACAATGAAAAGGTTTCTCTCCTGTGTGTCTTAACATGTGTATCTTGAGTTGTGCAATTTGGGCAAATCTCACTCCACAGATTTGACAACAATAAGGTTTTTCTCCAGTGTGTATTAACATGTGTGTTTTCAGACTTGAATTTACAGAAAATCTCGCACCACAAATTTCACACCGGAAAGCTTTCACTCCGGTATGTGTTAACATGTGGCGCCTGAGAGAAGAATTTTGTGAAAATTTAACTCCACAGATTTCACAACGAAAAGGTTTCTCTCCTGTGTGTTTTAGCATGTGTATCTTAAGTTGTGCAAATCTCACTCCACAGATTTGACAGCAATAAGGTTTTTCTCCAGTGTGTATTAACATGTGTGCTTCCAGGCTTGAATTTTCAGAAAATCTCAGTCCACAAATTTTGCACTGGAAAGATTTCTCTCCAGTATGTGTTAACATGTGCTGTTTGAGAGAATAATTTTGTGAAAATTTAACTCCGCAAATCTCACACCGAAAAGGTTTCTCTCCTGTGTGTGTTAGCATGTGCTGTTTGAGATTTGAATTTAAGGCAAATTTAGCTCCACATTTTTCACAAGGAAATGGTTTATCTCCTGTATGTGTTCTCATATGTTTCTCAAGATGGGACTTCCAGTGAACATCTAATCCACAAATCTCACAATGTAAAGACTGTTTCTTTTCATGGTTATTCATAATGCCCTTCAAAATCTGTCAATATGCAAGCTGCAAAAAATAAAAATAAATCAGTCACAAACAGGGATTATGAGTTTTATAAACAAAATTAATTTTTCTTTAATATTATAATGGCTGGCTATTCATATCCGACGGATGTTCATCTACTTGGGCAGCTAACCAATCCCTTTTGCAGACACCTGCTAAGGTATATTTGCATTTGTTCAACACACACACAGAGCCCACCTGGGGTTTATACTGCAACTATGTTGAATGAACCTTAGAGTTTCTGGGAGAGTACACATTATTTAGTGTGATCAACAGTTTGAACAAGACCAGCATGCTCAAACTCTCGGTCACAATGACTTGTGACTTCATGTTATCACATCCATTGATGGGTCCAAAGAGTTCTGTTTACCAATTTCACTCACAAGGCTTGGAACAACTCTTGGTATAGTTTTCAGGCACTTTCCAAAACCCAATAACATCAAGAAGTCACCTTCCTGACAAATCATTCAAACTTGGGTTTTTAACGGTCAGAAAGCAAATGTTCTAACCACATAGACATTTGTACAAGGTAACCAAAAAAGTTCTGTCCATTTTTAAAGGAAAAAAAGAAAACGCTTCACAGTATGTGTAACTTATATTTAGTCTTCGAAGTAATCGCCATCGGCATCCAGCACCTTCTGCCAACATGTCTCAAGCTGTCCAATGCCCTTGCGGTAGAGGGCCCGGGGAGGGGGGAATGTTTGACACAAAGAAGTCCATGAGGGCTTTGTGCAAGTCTGCTTCATTGGTGAAGGATTTCCCATGAAGATAATTATCCAGGGAGTGGAAGAGGTGGTAATCGGATGGCACAAGGTCAGGTGAATAAGGTGGATGGCACAAAGTCTCCCACCCAAGTTGCTGTATGGTATCCCTGATCACTCGTGTGGCTTGGCGTTGTCATGGAGGAAAAACACACCTTTGCGATTCACCAGTGTTGGCTCCTTCTGGCGCAATGCCTGTTGCACACGTTTCAATTGCTGCAAGTATAGGTCTCCAGTGACCGTTTGGCCTGTTGGTAGCAGTTCATAATGAACCACCTGACGACCTGTCCACCAGACACAAAGCATAATCTTGCATGGGTGCATAGGTGGTCTTGCGGTGTGAGGGACAGCATCCTGAGGAGACAACCAATGTCTGGAACGCTTGGGAGTTTCATACAGAACCCACTTTTCATCACTGGTAAGCACTTGATTGAATAAGGATGCGGTATGGTGGCGAGAAAGCAGCTATACGCAGGCTGCCACTCGTTGTTCCTTGTAGACCTCCAACAGCGTTTGCGGAACCCACATGCTCAGTTTGTACGTCTTACCTAAACAGGGCAGGCGAAGTCTAACTGTTTTATCAGAAACGTTGAACTGTCTTGCAAGTTCACCACACGTTAGACTACTGTACTCTTCAATGGCCACCTTCAGGACTCCATCATTCAAGAACTGTGGTCGTCCACTGCGAGTCACATCATGGAGAGACAAATCTCCCGACTTGAATTTTCAAAACCAACGCCTTGCAGTACGTTCATCCACAGCACTATCCCCAAACGCTTGACATATGCAGCGCTGTGATGCAGCTGCTGATAAGCCCACTTTGAAGTCGTAAAGCAAACAGCCCCGAATGAGATCTCTAGACACTTCCATCCTTTTCACAGCTGTCCAGCTTATAACTAATGGCCGGGCATGATGCGCATATTTTTTATAACGTCTGATGTTCCTACTTCCGGCTGTCCGAATTTGAAAAAAATTGCTACACGCATTTCGTATATATTTCAACTTCATTCAATGACTAATCAAAAAACGGACAGAACTTTTTTGGTTACCTTGTATTAATCACATATATATTGATATAAACACACATATATTAATAAATATACACACATATATATAATTATATACATATATAAAAGTGAACATAGAAGTCAACACTTAGAGGCGACAGTCTGTTTCATGCTAGATGCAATCGTCAGGCCTGATGATTGCATCTAGCATGAAACAGACTGTCACCTCTAAGTGTTGACTTCTATGTTCACTTTTATATTTACACACACTCTGTCTCTGATATTGAGCACATTATCCCATAAATATAGCACACCTTAAGACTATATTTCTTCATAAATATACATATATGTGTGTTGATAAATATACATACTATCCTGCACCATTTGCACTACTCGTGCATTTCATATATTTAACATATTATATATATATATATAAGGTATTCAGATTGTACTCACCAAATAATTTCTTTCATTTCTGTCCTCTTTACTTAAATTTCACAAACATCAGACTGTCAATAAATTACTCACGGGGAAACAATTCATCCTAGTTAAAAATACTTTTCTGCTATATTTTAAACTAAAAGAAATATTTGTTTCAGTTCAGATTAATTAAATTTTAAATCTCTTAATTTTCAACAAATAATGTTTCAGAAAAGTATGCTTTATGTTTGACAGATGTTTTAAAAAAAGGAAATTATTTTGTGTCAACACATCCGTTAAAATGGATGATTTTTACAGATTTTTCTGATAAGGAGAGAAAACTATAAGATTCCAATCAATTTAAATTTGGTTTGAAATACACCAAAGTATTTTCTTAATTTAGAATATTAAACTTAATCTATTTGCTTGGATTAACACTAAAATTAAAGCTTCAAGATTTTTCATTTTTTAAAATGCCATTTAATATTAAGTATCACATATTTTGGAGGTATCTCTGCTTTTAGGAAATTTAGTAGAATAAATAATTTTATTTTTAATACTACAGTGTAACCCGGATATAAGAGAAACCCGGATATAAGAGACTTCTTCGCCGGTCCCGACAACTCTCTTATATCCGGGTTACACTGTATATTATATTTTTAGGATCAATATCACTTCTGCTTTTCAATTTCTCCTATGTCCATTTTCATTTGCATGTGGGGTGTTATTATTTCAGTAAAATATTTATCATCAATATGCATTATTAAGTGTGAACATATGGAAAATTCATTCTGAACCTTTTCAAAAATAATTTGGGCATAATGCTAAACTGCATCCAACAGCAAGGCCTCTGATCAGGAGGTTTTGAGGAGCGTGAAACCACCTATTAATTGCTGGTGTTCCCAGGTCCACCCTGACCTGGGGTGGTAA